GTGTAAAGTTGCATCTAAAGAGAAATGATCTCTTGAGCACTATCGATATATCGGAAATGATATTCGATGAAATAAGGCAAATATCATGATCTTTTTACGCCACCATATCCATGATGGTTTAAATGATAAATCCATCACGAGTAAAGATCCTGAAGATCTTGGGAAATAAGTGGTTGAATCTCCAGGCGAGAGAATTCACCCAAAGCTCGGAGTTGATATAAATCCTCCTGGTAGCTTAATAATATAATAAAATCGTGATGAGAAACCATCAGTTTTGTCCAACTAAATTAACTCCATTCCTAGAGGAGAATGTTGAGTAATCCACTTACAGTAAGTGTGATGGAAAAATTTAATGACAGAAAAGGATATTGGTTGGGATGTTGAAAGACAAAAGCTTAATGGTTTTGATGTATTATATGCTTTTGCTTTGAATGTTTTTGCTGTAAGTTCTATTATATCATAAGTTGTATTGCCAGGTATGTGTATTAATACATCTATTATAAATATTTTAAATTCAAAAATGTGAGAATTTGAGACTATGGATGGAGAAATATGTCTAGCAGACAGTGCTTCGACACATACAATACTTAAAGCTAAAAAGTATTTCTCCTGTCTCAAAATGAAAGTCTCCGCTGGAAGCGTGAGTACTATAACTGGTATTGCAAAGATTATACTAGGCTCCGGAAGAGCAATTTTTTCATTGCCAAGGGGTACAGAGTTTGTAGTGTAAGATGCATTATACTCCCCCGAGTCTCAACAGAACTTATTAAGTTTTCGAGATATCATATTGAGACTAATAATAAGAATGACTCTGAATATCTTTGCATTTCAACGGAGAATAAACATCAGTTGGAAGAGTTACCAATGATGTCCTCTGGATTATATTGCATAAAGATAACCATGGTTGAATCACATGTTGCAGTAAACCAGACGTTTACCAGCACTTTTAGAGTATGGCATGAAAGGTTATGCCATCCTGGTTCAGTCATGATGAGAAGGATTGTGCAAAATTCGAGTGGCCACCCATTGAAAAACCAGAAGATTTTTCAATCGGGGGAGTTTTCATGTAAGGCATGTTCTCAAGGAAAACTCATATGTAGGCCCTTGCCAGCCAAAGTTGGGAATGAATCCCATGTGTTCTTAGAGAGAATACATGGTGATATATATGGGCCGATTAACCCACCGTGCGGGCCATTTAGATATTTCATGGTGTTGATTGGCGCATCTAGTAGTATGGTCATATGTGTGTCTTTTGACCACAAGAAATATGGCTTTCGCAAGATTCATTGCCCAAATAATCAGGTTGAGAGCACATTTCTTGATTATGCCATAAAGAAAGTCAGGCTTGATAACGCTGGTGAATTCACTTCAGCGGCCTTTAATGACTATTGTATGTCTTTGGGAATCGATGTTGAGCATCTGATTCCGCATGTTCATACACAAAATGGCATGGATGAGTCATTGATTAAGCGGTTGCAATTAATTGCAAGACCATTAATCTTGAGAACAAAGCTTCCAATCACTGTATGGGGACATGCTATATTGCATGTTGGGGCATTGGTCCAGGTAAGATAAAGTGCGTATAATGAATATTCCCCCATACAGTTAGCATTTAGCTAGAAGCCAGATGTATCCCATCTTCGTGTGTTTGGGTGTGCGGTCTATGTCCATATAGCGCCACCTCAAAGAACAAAAATGGAACCACAAAGAAGATTGGGAATATATATCGGGTATTCGTCACCAAGTATAATTAGGTATCTTGAGCCGGTAACTGGTGATATGTTCACGGCACGGTTTGCCAATTGCCACTTTGATGAAAGTAAATTCTCTGCGTTATGAGGAGGATTGAGAGAATCACCAAATGATATCACATGGTGTACAAAAACTTTGGCTTATCTTGATCCTCCTACAAACCAACGCGAGGTGGAAGTTTAGAAAATTATACATATACAAAGATTGGCAAACCAGTTACCTGATGCATTCACTGATACAAGAAGGGTGACAAAGTCCTATATCCCCACTGCTAATGCTCCATCAAAGATAAATGTTCCTGAAGAACATATTGACGTAAATAGAGCAAATGAACCGGTTCAGCTAAAGCGCGGGAGGCCAGTAGGATCAAAAGATAAAAATCCCCAAAAAAGAAAGAAATTGTAAGCAAAGGTTCTGGAAGAACCAAATAAAGCCAAATGTCCTGAAGACATTTGTGAAAAGGTTCCTGAAGAACTAAATGAAGATATATGTCCGGAAGACATATCTGAACCAGTTCCTGAAGAACTAGGTAAAGAGGTTTGTCCTGAAGACGAATCTGAAGCAAAAAAATATGAGATTTCCATCTCCTTCTCCCAAAGTGAAAAATTATGGGCTATAAGTGAAATAGAAGATAATGATGGAATGTTCTCTTTTTCTGTTTCCAAAAGAGATCGATCATGAAAATGATGATCAAGATCCAAGTTCTGTGTCAGAGTGCCAAAGAAGGCCTGACTGGGATAAATGGCAAGTTGCCATGCGGGATAAGATATTCTCCCTTAATAAACGGAACGTATTCGGACCGATAATTATTACGCCTGAAGATGTAATACCAGTCAGATACAAATGAGTCTTTGTAAGAAAGAGAAATGAGAAAAATGAGGTCACAAGGTATAAAGCTCGCCTTGTGGCACAAGGATTTTCTCAAAGACCGAGAATGGATTATGAAGAGACATATTCCCCGGTCATGGATGCAATCACATTCAGGTACTTAATGAGCCTAGCGGCCTCTAATAATTTAGAGATGTACTTGATGGATGTTGTGACTGCATACCTATATAGTTCACTTGATAGTGACATATACATGAAAATCCCTGAAGGATTTAAGATCCCTCAAGGATCAAAGATTCCTAAAGCATCTAAATAGCTATGTTCGGTCAAACTACAGCGATCACTTTACGGATTAAAACAATCCGGATGCATGTTGTATAATCGCTTAAGTGAATATTTGTTGAGTAAAGGTTACGTCAACAATGCGATATGCCCTTGTGTGTTTATTAAGAAATCTGCATCAGGATTTGTGATCATTTCTGTATATGTTGATGACCTGAACATGATTGGAACTCAAAAGGAGATTGATGATGCTAGAGCTCATATGAAAGATGAGTTCGAAATGAAAGATCTTGAAAAGACAAAATTTTGTCTAGGGCTCCAGATAGAGCATTTCCAAGATGGAATATTTGTGCATCAATCAAATTACACCAGAAAGGTGTTGTAATGCTTTAGTATGGATAAATCGACTCCTTTGAGTACTCCAATGATCCATTTCGACCTTGTGAAGGTAACAAAGAAATATTAGGTCTTGAAGTGCCTTATATGAGCGTTATCGGTGCCCTTATGTATCTTGCAAATTGTACTAGACCAGATATAACTTTTGCTACTAACTTACTTGTAAGGTATAGTTCATCACCGACGCACCGGCATTGGAATGGAATAAAGCATATTCTGTTATCTTCAAGGTTCGATTGAATTTGGATTATATTATTCTAGAAACCCCGAGGTTGGTCTAGTTGGTTTTGCAGATGCAGAATATCTGTCTGATCCTCATAAAGCTAGATCACAAACTGGATATGTTTTCACATTTGGTGGAACTGCGATCTCATGGCGATCACAAAAGCAAACTTTGGTCGCGACTTCTTCAAACTATGCGGAGATTATTGCACTTCATGAAGCATGCAGAGAATGTGTATGGCTTCGGTCGATAGCTCATCACATACAAGAAACAAGTAGAATAATCACAGACAAAGAACCAACAAAAGTGTTGAAGACAATGCTGCTTGTGTCGCTCAAATTAAGGAAGGTTATATCAAGAGCGATAGAACGAAGCATATCCCTCCAAGATTTTTTTCATATACTCAAGAGCTCGAGAAGAAAAAGGAAGTGGATATTCAGTATGTTCGTTCAAGTGACAACGCAACTGATCTCTTCACAAAAGCGCTTCCTACTACAAAATTCAAGAAACATATTCATGGTATTGGAATGCGGCATCTACGAGATTTGTGAAGAGAAGATGAGATCCATATTTTCCAGGGGGAGTTTGCTATTGCTGTACTCTTTTTCCTTTTATCATGGTTTTTATCCCATTGGGGTTTTCTATGGAAATGTTTTTAACGAGGCAGCACGCAACTTCACAATGATAGATATTCAGGCGTTATTTCGAGGGAGAACGTTATTGCACTCTTTTTTGCCATGGTTTTTATTCCAAACGAGTTTTACCATGATAAAGTTTTTAATGAGACAGTATATACATCATTAGTGATAGATAATTAAGGGAGAGTATTAAATGAATAGTGATTATCCATTTGCTTTTGTCTTTGTACATTAGCATATAAAAAAATAATGCTTATCCATAAATTTTAAATAATGTTTATCTATATGTTTTGGATAATGCTTATCTATATGTTTTGTCTTTATACATTATTTTTTCTATAAATAGGTAACTTCGTTTTTTGTAAAATCATAAATTCAGAAGAAAAAAGAAATGAAGATTTTATGTTCATCTTTCTCTCTTTCTTTCTGAAATTCAAACTTCTTAAATTCTTCTTTACTTTTTATATAAAATATTAGTTTACAACAGTAATCACCTTTACTATCTTACAAAACAATTTTAAAATTTACATTTTAAAATTTATAGCTCTATTTCATTACCAAAAAAAATGTCTAAAATGTTTGATTTTTTTTTTCAATTATTAGGCACCAAACCCTAGAGATACAACCCATAAATCAGAAAAATATAGAAATGCATTATTTAATGAAAATATAAGAAAATAATTTTGAAAAACGTATATAAGTGTAGATATGTATTTTGGTGAGAGAGACACCTGGTTCAAACTTTTTAGACGAACGCGGAAAACGAGTAAGAAGAACAGTTGGCCCTTCCGCAAAAATCCACCGTCTTGTATTAATAATACACCAAAACTAACGAAGAAGACTCAAACGACGTCGTAGAAGGAGATTCTTGCTTGGCCTAGAGAGAGAGAGCTCTTCTCTTCACATCATCCATGGCCACGCACAGTCTCTCCTTCTTCTTCAGCTGCAGAGTTCTCCTCCTCTTTCTTATCCTCTCAGGTTATCTCCTCCTCCTCCTTCACCTCAATCCGAAAAGATTTGAATTCGGATTCTTGATTGTGTTTTTTTCTTTTTTTCTTTTTTTCTTTTTTCAGTGAGAGTTAAGAGTCAAGGAGTAGGAATAAACTACGGCCAAATCGCTAACAACCTCCCGTCTCCGGCGAGAGTCGCCGTACTTCTCCAATCACTAAACATCACAAGAGTAAAACTCTACGACGCAGATCCAAACGTACTCTTCTCCTTCTCAAACTCCCAAGTCGATTTCATGATCGGATTAGGCAACGAGTTTCTCCAAAACATGTCAACAGATCCAACAAAAGCCCAAAGTTGGATCCAACAAAAACTCCAACCACACATCTCGAAAACCCGAATAACCTCAATCGTTGTCGGAAACGAGATCTTCAAAACAAACGACCGTGTCTTAATCTCGAGTCTCTTACCTGCGATGAAATCTGTTTACTCTGCTTTACAAAACCTCGGATTAGAGAAACAAGTAGCAGTAACTTCTGCTCATTCTCTCGACATTCTTCAAACATCTTATCCTCCTTCTTCTGGATCATTCAAAGAAGAATTCATTCAATTTCTTCAACCTCTTCTCGATTTTCATTCTCAGATTAAATCTCCTTTCTTAATCAACGCTTATCCTTTCTTCGCTTATAAAGACAGTCCTAAAGAGATTCCGTTGGAGTATGCTCTGTTTCAGCCGAATCACGGGATGATTGATCCCAACACGAATCTTCATTACGACAACATGTTGTTTGCTCAAATCGATGCGCTTTATTCCGCGATTAAGACTTTGGGACATACTGATATTGAGGTTCGGATCTCGGAGACGGGATGGCCTTCTAAAGGAGAAGAGAATGAAATCGGAGCTTCGCCGGAGAACGCCGCGCTTTATAACGGGAATTTGTTGAAGTTGGTTCAGCAGAGGAAAGGAACTCCGGCGAAGCAATCTGTTCCGATTGATGTTTACGTTTTTGCCCTTTTTAATGAGAATCTTAAACCGGGTCCGATTTCTGAGAGGAATTATGGTTTGTTTTATGCGGATGGTAAACCGGTTTATAATGTCGGTTTACAGGGTTATCTTCCTGATATAATCTACACTTCGAGCGCAACAACCATCAAGGTAAAATCCTATTTCTCTTGTAGGTTTTAAAATCTTAATTTGTTCTTCTTCTTTCAAATTAAATAAGTTTTTGATTTAGAAAATTTCCATTAATCCTGCAAACAATATTTTTAAAGAACTTGATTTTTATTTCCTTCTAAATTTTGCGTTATATGTTTTCTATTTTAATTGAAAATTTTAAAGTCTACTTAGTTTTGGATTTTATCAAAAAAAAACCCGAATTGAAAAACCAAACACTATATTAAAGTCTACACTCATAACTCATTATCAGTTTTCTTTTGTCAAATCTGTTTTGTTTTGCCGGAAGTTATTAGTTTAGAAGCATTCACAAAAAAAAAAACTTTTTTTTAAATAATGTAGAAAGAAAAATACAATTCTTTTAGATTACAAAAAGGTTGGGAACGATTGTTTAAACTTTAAGATTATTTGTGACTAAATGTTAAAAAAAAAAAAACTATTTGTGACCACCTTTTCGAAATGTGTAGTTTCTCTATTCTTTGGATGGTAATTTTAGAAACAAAACATAAAATTTGTAATCTAGTGAAATTTGGTTTTATCTGTACTCCGGATATTTCTTATATGTTATGATTAAAGTTTAAGAATATAGTAGAAGAGATAAGACATTGATAATAATGTTGATGTTGAATAATTGTGCAGATCTTGATTTTGTGGAGAGTCGTGATGGGTTTGGCTGTAGCGGGGTTGATACTTGATTTGGGCGTCAATTTGAGGATGAGATAAGCTTGGCTGGTGTCCTTGTCTGTCCTTATAGTTTTTTTTTTGTTTTACAAGAAAATTATTGTTATAGTTAATATAGGTGAGGTATAAAATTCTTTATCATGATGTATTGGCATTATAAAAAACAAAACTCAGTTTATTCCATAATTGGGAAATTGTTATAAAGAACATTGTTTTGTCAATTATGCTAAAAACTCTTTGCCAATCAAGTATACCTTCTATTTGTGTACATTAGTAGTAAAATTAATTGTTTTGTTAATTATGCTAAAAATTCTTTGCCAATCAAGTATACCTTCTATTTGTGGACATTAGTAGTAAAATTAATTAAATATCTAAATGTATCCATCAGTGATTCATAATTCAACCAATCACAGTATACATATCAAAATTCATTTTTAACTCAATTCTTTTTGTTGTCTAAAAAAAATTGTAAGCCGACTAAATTATGCAAAATGTGTCACAAAATTAGTATGTTATTAAGATTTTTAATAGTGGGTCACACCACTTTTGGGTTATCTGCTATAACTTGCAATCATGCATGTGAATCTTTTATCGTATATAAAAAAATATGTTCCTCACAACTTCAGCTACACAAAAGTCCATTGGTACCATCAGATCAATATTTTACAGAAATTGTCAAAAAGTCGGTTTGTTCTATTCGTTTCTTGCCTCTCCAGCCTTTCCACGCGATAGGGTCGCAACAGTCCCTAAACGTAATCACCTATATATTAAAAGAGAAATATTTTTAAAAAATATTTTTAATTTTGTAAAATATTATAGTGATACCATTTTGCTGATATATCATCACTAAAATCATTTTTAGATAATTTATTAAAAATAATAAAAAGATAATTTATTTTTATATAATCTCTATGTATATTTAGTATTTAAAATAAATTTTACAGTAATCTTCTTTTCTTAAAAATTAATATTCTTATGATTATAATTTTTGCGGGTTAATCTAAATATGCATTTACATTCGTATTAAAAATATTAAAGTCGATTATAAAATTTTGTAAAATCGATTAAAGAATAAATTTAATTTTGTAAAATATTACAGTGGTGCTATTTTGCTGATGTGTCATCACCAGAATCATTTTCAGCAAATTTATATAAATAGACTTATGTTACTAGATTAATTACATGTTATGCCACTCATATTAATTTGGTTATACATTAGTTTATATCAATTATATTGATGATGATTCATCCAGATATTTTATTTTTCTATTTCTTACAAAAAATATATCATATTAATTATTTTTTTAAATACTATATTTTATCTCTTATTTTTATAGAAAAATAAATCATCACATCATTCATATAGTAAAATATATATATATATATATAATTTTTTTTTGTGTGTTATAATTCGAATTTCATAAAACAAATATAAATTAATTGAAAAATTAATAAATAAAAGTATGTTTTAAAAGACTAAAATTGAAAATAAAGATGTATATATAGATGATTCATAAATCCATATAAAAATATACATAAATGATAAAAAAACAAGAAGCTTAATTTAATAGATATTATTATTTTTAATTTATATAACAAAATAACTTGGTAAAAAATTAAAATATTTTTGTAAAGATATTATATAATAATTTTATTAAAATTTTTGATATTAAAAATATTTTTATTAAATCAAAAAGTTAAGAATGGATAAATATTGACTCAGTTATATACAATTTTAGATAATTTACTAAAAATAATAAAAAGATAATTTATTTTTATATAATCCTTATATATATTTAGTATTTAAAATAAATTTTACAGTAATCTTCTTTTCTTAAAAGTTAATATTTTTATGATTTTAATTTTTGCGGGTTAATCTAAATATGTATTTACATTCGTATTAGAAATATTAAAGTCGATTATAAAATTTTAAAATCAAATTTTATTTTTACAATTTTAATACTCTCTATTTCAAAATATAAGTTATTTTGTATTAAAGCACAAAGATTAAAAAGCAACTTTTCTTTTAAAAAAGTAATCATTTAGTATATAAATTAAATATAATTCAACTAATTATGAAAAATTGAAAAATATAATTGGTCACATAGTATTCATTGAAAGTAGTAAAAAATATAAAAAACAACTATATTGTAAAACAAAATAAAACCTTAAAAAAAATTAATATTATGAAACAGAGGAAGTAGTAAATTTTTTTAGTAGATACTTAATAATTTAATCAAAATATACTTCCTCTATTTTTTTTTAATTTTAAGATCATGTTATTAATCATAGGTTATAAAAAGTATAAAGAGGGACTTCTTATTTCTATCCAAATTATGAATATATATTTAATTTTTAAACTAATTTACATTAGAATTAAATTACCTTAAAATTCATAACATAAACAAAAAATATTTTATCAATATTACAGCATAATGTTATAAACAACTTATATAAAATCAATTGTATTTTTTATATAATTTTAAAATTATACTATATTAAATAAATAATAATTATTTCACTCCGCACATAGTACAATTTTTTTTTTTTTTGAAAATACATAGTACAGATTATTACCTAGTTATTAATTAATTAGTGGTATGATGTAGTCTATAGTTGCACAAATCTGTCAATTCACGTATCATCAAAGTTCACGTTGACATCAGTATAGTGGATCCAAACTATATTTATGTTTCCTGGATTTGAAAAGTGAAATAAACATATAATATAAACGTTTGTATTGTAAAAAAAAAAAACGTATAATATAATATACTTCAGTTCACTTACTACCAATTAATTGCACCGATCAGTTTAATAGTAACAATTAGTTTTAAAATTAAAATCTATAAAATTTAATATATTATCATGCAGTTAATTATTAGATTTTAGTTATTATATTTAATGATTAATCTATATTTTTTGTGTGCGGACAAATATTTTTATATAAAATTTAAATTACAGCGGGATCACTTACTGAATTTAAGCATATCAATAAGTAGAAAAAAAGAAACTAACAAGGATTTCCTAAATAACGGCGAATAAACTGGAAAGAACCCAGCTTAAAAATCAGACGTCTTCGACATTCAAATTGTAATATAGAGAAACGTCCTTATAAACAGAAGGTGGGAATTCGATGCCAAGAAATTCGAGTTACAAATGTTCGAAAGTGATACATAACTGAAATACAAAATAAGATAAACATAAGACAACATAAATTTTATACTGCACTTTATGATTAATCTATATACACAAATGTTTTTCTATCTACACTTTCCTATGAAAAGAGGAAAAGAGAAGCAAAAGCTTTGTACGGCGACATTTTATTGTTCTTATTAGTAGTTGACAGTTGAGTATGCCCACAATACTGTGATTTAATTATAAACCTTAACGTTGGATTACACTTGTGCAAAAAAGAAACTAATACCACATGGTTTTCTCTTTGTATAGATTTGAATCCGATCCGTTCGAGGTGTCACACATTCGAGAAATGTGTAGTGAAACTATAGTATTGATGAGTGCATATGCGTCTTAACGTATTTTTTTGATCTCTAACTTTTGCCAAGAAAGTTTAAATACCACACGTCTATTGTCAGAAGGAAAATAAACACATTTTTTAAAATATCTTTTTTAGCAATAACTTAAGTTTATCAAAACTAGAAAAACTGCACCGACCTAGCTCAGATAAAAGAAAACCTCTAAAAATAATCTTCGAAGTCCGGAAGCAACGGTTTTACTCGAAAGATAGAAGAAAATTTCCATATTTTTCGGAGAATAAGGGATATTTCTATATCGCAAATATGAAAATATTCACTAAAAGAAAAAAAGAAAAAAAGTTCGGAGCAACCGACCTCTTATCCCTATAAATAAAAAGACCCCAAAGCTGAAGAAAACAACTCATACAATCTACAGAGCAACATAGTTAAAACCAGAGACTTCAACGCTTTCTAGTTTACTTCGCAAACACTTTCTTTCACTTCGGCATAAACCTCTCGGTTAAGCCATCTCTTGTAATCGCTATGCCTTAAAGCTATTAATAAAAAGATCTTATTCTCCAAAACCCACAACTGTTAATCAAATCCTTAGTGGTGATTTTCTGGTTCAACAGTTGGCGCCGTCTGTGGGGACTAGGAGAATAAATTCTTAGAAACTAACAACTAAAGGCCGAAGCGATGAGTCTCCCGATCGACAACAGCGACCTCATCCGCAACGACAACGACACCACCACGTATACAGAGACGTCTGGTCTCGACGAGCATGGCAACCCTACCACCACAAATCCACCCACAGGAGCACCCTCGACTCCCATCCTGCAAGCTTTAGCCATTGGGGCACTCATAAACGACCTGTGGTTCGAATCCCCCTTCAAGGAGGATCTGCAGAAGAACCCAAAGGAAACCATATAAGACGCACTCCATCGAGCTCAAATTTTCATACGAATTGAGGAGAAAAAAATTTTCTATGCCAAGAAGCACGACATGGACGGGGCAACCACCACGAAAGATAAAGATCCAACAAGCAAAAGCAAGCCATCCTCCCACGCCGTCGTGGCTACCGGAGAGAAGCCCTGGAATCAGTGGACCCGCGCCAATCCTCCAAGAAATTCAAACGATAGAGACGACAACCATGATCTCTACTGCTTTTTTCACGAGCGAACAGGACACGCTACCTCGGCCTGTCGACACCTCCAGCACTCGTTGTATCAAAAATACAAGGAAGGCAAAATTGACGTGGGTGGCGATCGATCCCACAACAAAAGTTTCTACTCCCGCAGTTCTAATCCTAGGGACTCGCGCCAAAGTACCTCCAGCAAGGATCGCCGAGATCCAGGGAAAAGCAGCAGCCGAAGCGGTTCCGGAGGAAGACACCGAAGTCGTTCGCCCGAGAAAAAGCGCAAAGAAAAAGAAAAAGATAAAGGAGCAGAGCACAGCAACGATGAAGACGAACATGACAATCAACCCCCTCCGCCCAAGCGATGGGTAAACATGATTATGGGAGGACTTCCCGATTGTGACGACTCAGTCCGCGCCATCGAAGAGTATGGC